ACCAACTTACAAAACTAAGTCAACTAGAACTACCCCAACAACTTATCCGTCAACCACTGACGATTTTACAACTTACACAACTAAGATAACTAGAACTACCCCAACAACTTATCCGTCAACCACTGAAGATTTTACGACTTACACAACTAAGACAACTAGAAGTACACCAACTTACAGGACAACTAGAACTAAACGAACTACTCCAACCACTTATTTTCTAACCACAACTGATGATGACTATTATACAACTTACTACAGACCTAAAACAACTAGAACTACTCCTACTTACAGGACAACTAGAACTATACCAATTTATAGAACTAGAACTAGGCGTACTACTCCAACCACTTATCCTCCAACTATTACTGACGATATTTATAATCGTGTTTTTTATCGAACAAGACTTATTCCTATTAGATACCGATTCCATTTTGACAAATGAAACCTACTTTTTCATATTTTTGAATATTTTTTTGTGTTTTATAAAATTATTTATTTAGTAAAATACATTAAAGTGTAATTTATTTACACAGATAAAAATTTAATGAATTTAGCATCTTTTTTTCTCTATAGCTTTAATGATCTTAAAATTTTAATTCGCTATGATAGGGAATAAATGTTTACACAAGTATTTGATGTAATAAACAAAAATAGTAATAAAAAAAAATATTTTTGATAATAAGTAAGGTTTTAAAATGCAAATAATAACATCTCGAATTTGTCTCAGAATAAAAACTGAAGTACTAAAAATTTTTTCTTTTAGCAAATAGTCGAATCAATTTTTTCAAAATCGGCTACAATTCCTGTATTTTATTAGATATTAAAAAAAACAATAAGAATCGACACTTATAACTTCTTAAAAAACATTATAATCATATTTTTGAAATTTTATTTTTTGTAAAAGTTGAAATTTTGTTCAACAAGCCCGAATAGCAGGGTTAGGCAAACCACTTCAAGGGACTTCCTAAACCATTTTTTTTAAAGGCTATAATGATTTGAAATGCATTTTTATTTATTAATGATGCTTATAAAATAAATTTATTGTTTTACTGTTCAAATAATACTTTTAAATTGAAACTAATTATATATAAAAATTGAAGCTTAATTTTTGATTAATTTAATGAAAATTCTGGACATATAAAAATAAGGATCTTAAGGAGAGTTTATGACTTCATCGGATAAATTTTAAATACCAATCATACACAATTCTCTTTCCAAGATTTTGATTTCTCATATTAACTGCCATATTTGATGTGTATGGTATGGTTTAGCGAGCCCCGTTGGTTTAAATTGACTAATCATGATTTAAATAATATCTAGACATAATGAATATTAATAAAACTTTCTCAAATTATAAAAGAGTGTTAAAACTTTGCTATAAAACTTAATTTATTATATATAAATGATTATATATTTTAATAAAAATTAAAATTCTATCGTGTATAAATCTTTTGAATATTACATCAAAATAAATAAAAATTCTAATATTTAATTATTTCAAATGATTTTTTGTAGATAGATGCATATTAATAAAAGCTACATTAGAATAAAATTTAAACTTTCTAGTCTATTTAATTTTAAGTCGAGATTAAGTGGTTTACCAAGCCCCAAGGTTTACCTGTTTCCCCTACTATAATTTTTACTAAACCGCTCAGAAAATGTTTGCCATGTTGTATTTTTATTTTTAGGTATGAATGTTCTAGAAATTCTTACTATAATAGTTCAATAAGGGTTACAAATATAAGCTAAAGCAGAGAGGACTCAACGTGATACCTTTTTTAAATTTTGATATCGGAAAACTAAATGCATTTTTGTTACTTTTTTTAAAAAAACCTTTATATGAGATTAGAGATTACTTTAAATAATTTTCCGAATATTTAACTATTTATAAAATATAACATTACTAATCCACCTAGATATAATTTAAAATACGAAATATTTTCTAAGATAGATAAAATAAAATTTATTTAACAATAGCGAAAAGTTAACTATAAAAAAAATATACTATAATCAAATTATCTAACATGTCGTCAGCTAGGCCTCCGATCGGATTTAAAAATTTAGTTAGAAAATAAAGAGTTAACAATAACGATGGTTCATGTTGTATTACATGGATATCCAATTATAATTTTAAAAAAAAAAACAATTTTGTTATTTTTGAGTATATTTCATTTTACCATTTAAAATTCTATAAAAGAAAAATTAAATCGAATCTCATAGAGTTTTGATTTTGAGATTAGTTAATTTGATTGTATTTTCACTTCAGTCATTTATTTTTTATAATGATATGTTACCGATCAGCACCTGTAACATTTTATATTTCAGAAAATCCTCTAAGTTATATATGCTTGATTAAGCGCATTGCCGGTAAAATATATAAATGTTTAGGCTTATTGATTGGGTTACAATTTTATTATAAAATCACGCGTTAAATTCGTTGTCAGTTTGTGCATATCAATATTTTTTATTTATTTATTTAATTTTTTTTTTCAAAACTTGAACTTTATGACACACATAAACAATGATAATATTAATAATCATAAAAAAAATATATTATTATATAAATCTGGGACCAACATAATTATAGAATAATAAAATATTAAAAAATTTAAAAGTTTATATTATTATTTAAAGGGAAATTAATTTTTATCTTCCTTTTTTTCTTAATATTTAAAATTTAAATAAGTGGTTTTAAATTTGTGTCTCTTTGATTTTGAGAAAGTCATAATTAAAGCATGATTTGAATCTCTTTCACATTAAATACCTAAAATATCAGTAATTCGAATGCTGGTTACTTATTATTCAACAATAAAATGAGTAAGCAACAATATTTTAAATTAAATTACAATAGATAATATAGCCTAGGAATAGTGTTGTTAAACGGCTCGATTTGACCCTATTTTTTAAAACGGCTAACTCACTATTTTATCCGGTATAATATTGCACAAGCCTGAATAGTTTGCTCATAGATGAAACAAATGACTAGACACCTATTAGCGAAATCTCGAGGCTTAGGCAATATTTTTCTGGCTAAAAGATTGAGTCAGCAGTTTCGAAAAATCGGTTCAAAACGAGCCATTTTACAACACTACCGAGGGTGGGGGTACTATTGTTTAAGCTAAAAATTTTATTTGGGATCTTTAGGTCTCATTATTGTAGACCTTTGGCTATGCCATATTTTTATAAAATAATTTTGATTTTTAACTTTTACTTATTTTTCTTTCAAATGATTGTTTATGATATAGTATGTGTGCACATTGGGGGGGGGGGGTAGAGGGACCTTTTTAATAAAATGGTATTTATTAGAACAGGCAAATTTCCGAGAGGATGAGAAAGTCAATACGCGTTCGTAATACAATATAAACAGCATTAGGAACCATGATATTTAAAAAGTTAAACGTTAAATAAAACGGAAAAACATGATAAATTATGAGTTCTCTGAAACAGTAGTTATGGCTATAGGCTGAATAGAATCGTTGATTAAAAATTAAAATAATTCTTAGCTGCATGCCTTTTAATTTTTTTTTTGATATTATATCTAAATCTCTTGAATAAAAAGTTTAGATTGATGGACTTTTTAGATGCCTTTAAAATTATAAAAAATTAAAGCATTTCGTTTCTCTTATGAGGTCATATATTTTTTTTTCAAAAAATTAATATTTTTCTAACGTTGTTTATATAGTTTAAATAAATTATATAAAATAAAAGTTAAAAATTAAAGAAACTTAATGAAATAAAACAGGTCAACTAAGTATAAAATATTGTTTGTTTGTACCCGGGGAAAAAAACAACATTTATAAATTAATTAATCAACATTATTTAAAAAAAACTAATTATTATTTTTTTACATAAATTTATAACATATTTGGGTAAGTCACTGAAACTCGGGGAAATTATTAATATTATTATTTTTTTTTATTTAAAAATAATAAATATGAAATCGTGTGGATATGGGTGGAAATTTTTTGATGTAATAATAATTCAAAGTTTCATTACTCAAAAGTTTTAAGAATTTCATATTTTTTGAAAATTTTCACAAAATTTTTATAAAAATGGAAAAGGTGGCTATATTAAATGCTATTAAGTATTAAGTTAGGATAGGACTATAATTTTATTTGTAAAAATTTTCACAATTCTTTAATTTTACATTAAAAATAGAGTATATTATTTAAAAATTTTAAAAAGGTGTTTGCTCTATTGGATGCTACAATCAAATAATAGATAATTAAGCAATTTATTTGAATAAGCATAATATATAAACAATGGGAATATAGATATAAAATTCTAAGGAAAAACAAAAATAGTTCGATATAAATTTAAAAATTTAATTAATTTACTTAAATTTGACATATTTTTAGTATTACGAAAATAAGAATATTCACATATATATAAATGAGACTAAAATTTTATTTCAGTTCTGGGGATGCTCGCCTTAAGATCTTTTCATAAACGCTCAATACGTTGAGTATGGGTCGATTTATCATTTGGGTCCATAATGTTTCTGTTATGATTGGCCGAGTAATGATCATATCCATTTTCATTAAGATTGTTATAACCTGAAAAAATATTAAATTTTAAGATTTGTGCATACAAATTTCCCCGAGTTTCAATGACTTACCCATATTTGTAGTACTAGAGCCTATTGATTGGGATTGATGGATGGGCAAAAATATGCTCACAGCTCAGTATAGGAATGAGCAGGCTAATATATTTTAAATTTATGCAGTGTTTTTTTTCTCTAGAGATCGACGCAGTCCGGCCAGCAAATATTTTCCATCCATTTATTTCTAGTCCGGCTTGTAATATATTTTTATGAAGGAAAGAGGCATAAATTTTCCTAATTATCAGCTATAATAACATTTTCAAAACTTAGGCCCGGTCCTTTAAAATACTTTTGAACAATATGTCCGGATCGGGCTCAGCCATGCCGATCTTTAACTATAGACAATATATTAACTCTTTTTAAATTTAATACCTTTTTCTATAGGCTTTCTAATAACATGCGGAAATACGTTTCGTCCTACATTAGAAAAGTAAAATTCGTCTTGTTTTTTTCTTTCGCTATATTCACCCTGTTCACAATTTACACCAAAACGCGATTAAGAATAGAGAAAACACAACTAGAAAATGCCGGATTCAATAAATACAAATCGAACCATTGGAGTGAGATAGAAACGATAGGAGGTATTGTTATCACAAATTTATGATTCTTCTTTTGGCTAATCATTTTTAAAAAATTCTAGGCCATAAATTTGTACATTATTATAAGTGAGGTCAGGAAGTTTTGTTTTTTTATTAGGCAAAAAAGATAGAAATTTTAGATATAAATAACTATAACAATAGATCAAGTTTTGGGAACACATTTAACTATTGTATTATCAGTGGCGTAGCTATGGGGGTGGTTTCGGGTTTGGACCCCTCCCAAAAATTTTTTTTAGATTATACCTTCAAAAGACTTAAAAGTTACTTTATATCAAATAAATACCATGAATATTTATATTTTTGATGTTCGTGGAAGGATAATATATTGAGATAATCTACTAAATTATAATAATATATTATTGATGCATTAACTATATTTATTATATAATATCGAAGATATTATTATGATTTTTAAGATAAACCCGGCCGAAGGCCGGGCAAAAGGGCCGAAGACCCGTTAAAGGGGGTCTGGGGGGCAAAGCCCCCAGTCTTATTTATGTATGGACCCCCTCTAAGGAAAATTCCTAGCTACGCCACTGTGTATTATGTAGTTATAGTTAAGGTTACAATTTGAATACATAATTCAAAATAAATGTTAAAATACACTGAAACTTCCAAGAGTGATTACCAGAGACAAAATAGACACTTCCGCAAAGGGAGGCAGAGGTAAGTCAATTTTTTTCAAATAAAAGAACTTTAAACTAAAATTAAGTGTAAGGGGGGGGGCACAAAATTTTTTCATATGGATGAGCCAAAGATTTTTGCAGTTCGCAACTGGTGATCATCTGTTCATAACTGGATCCTTTAGGACACTTCTCTCCAGCAAAATCCTCCTAATATAATGAAAATATTCTATTACTATATTTAATTAGTCAAACCATTTCCAGAAATAAGGCTCTTTTGTTGGGTATTAACTAGAAAACAGAATTTGCACAACAGAGCGTCTTACATTAGGGACACATGGGCTAGAAGATGTGATAGAACACTATTTTTTCAAAGCGATAAATCTAACATTACGTTTCCCACCATCGGATTAAACATAAAGCAACGAAAGGAATCAAAGTTTTATACAGATTTTAAATATTTATTTTAAATATTGTAAATATAAGGGGACATCTTTAGCTCTAATCTAATCATTTAAATGTAAAAAAACCAATTTTATTTTGAATTAGGTACTAAAAGGCCTTATGCTCAATTAGAAAATATGGGTTGAGCAGGTCTCATTAGCAATACCACTAATTAAATTATACTCAATTATTTTTTTAAATGATATGTTGTTAAATAATAGATATGGGTTTGGATAAGGCTTCTCGCCCTAAAAAAATGAATTAAATCTCTACTAATAACTTAAGGAAATAAATTTTTCATTTGAAAAAAAATAAATAGAAATAACAATATAGTCAAAACTATACGTGCTTGGCGTTATGTTTATCGCAATTATGGAAACGATTTCGATTTTTTCCTCAAAACCGACGATGACCTTTATATAATAGTAGAAAATCTCAAGTTATTCCTCGCGGATAAAAATCCAGATGCCTTAGAATTTTACGCTCACAACACGCTCTTAGGGATGGGGGAAGAGCCCTTTGATCAAGCAGGTACGGGGTTAATCCTAACTCGCCGATCCTTAGCTAGCCTTAATCGAGAAGTAATAATAGAGAAACCCAAGTGCTTGCTAGAAGACCGTTATGGGGACGGCGAAGATTGGAAAACAGCTTTTTGTTTGAGATTCGTAGCAGGAGCCAAAGGTGTGAATACGTTGGACTCGCTGGGCAGAGACAGGATAATGGTTTTCAGGGTCGGTGATTTGATAGCTGACAAAGTGCCCGGCTGGTTTAAGGATGATTATTCTAACGAGTACAAGAACATGATAAAAAAGGTTTATAAGTTTATTTGTCGGACTTACATAAGAGCCATGAATATATATATACATTATTTGATTTTTGATATAGATAAAGATAATATATTTATCTTATTTTGGATCGTCCAATTCAAACATTTTTAATAACTATGATGCGAAACCAATAATATTCTTGTAAAGGACTTTTTTTTTAAAAAAAAAGAATGATTAACTTTAATATAATCAAGAGATTGAGCAGTGGATGGGGCAAAACCCTTCCACTTATTACATACCTAGTATATGTATTTTCTAGTTCATTTTTCTTTATAGAGGGGGTAGGATTGGTTTAACATATTGTCAAAGAACGATTTTTGACATCACTTATGAAAAAATGATATTTGGCACAAAACATCCAAACTTTATATGATTCCACTATGCCTAGATTATTAATTAATACTCTTCAGAAGTTTTTACCTCATATATTAAGGGTTTTATTTATGTTAACTTATCAGCGCACCCGAGATCAATCAATGACATTGAGAATTGATGGCTAAAATATAAAATTTTAATTACCCCCATTTCAATGATGCCATTGTATCGTATCTCCCTCGTGTTAGAAGTTCCTGAAATTTAAAAAGTTGAGGGCAAAGTTACAGGGCATAATATTAAAAAGATGAGCGAACTTTTAATGGAAATTTAAGTATTTAAACTTATAAAATTGTCATTTTATGTAAATAAAAAAGTTTATTTATTTCAGAATATCTGATTGAACAAGTTAAGAAACTAAGGCTGGGTAGGACTGAGTTTCATAAAAATTGCTGCCTCCCCCTTAGTGCATGAGGTAAATCAAATATTTAGGGCTAAGCATCACTAACAATTTTTAGAAAATCTCGGAGGTGTTATTTTTATTTGGAAGATAAATGATGAGGCTATCATGAAATAAGTCTGATTAAAAATTTTTATCCACAAACTAAATTCATTGTCGTTCTATCACTCTTAATTTGAGTAAATCTTGAATTGATCTTATATAATTAAATTTTCATTTTTACATAGAAAAGAACCATAATATACATAAAAATTTATCATAGGCTAAAAACTTAGGCCTCACTTATTGCATATATTTATCATTTTTTATTTTATCATTTAACATCATAATTAGTGTTGTTAATGATTCGATTTCTTAAATTTTAAATTAAGATTTTTGCCTAGATAATATTAAGGAAGCCTAGAGATTTCTAGATGTCCAAACCTTTCTGCCATCTATGAGCAAAATCTCCAGGCTTGCGCAATATTTTTTGGTTAAAATATTGAGGTAGCCGTTAAAAATCACATAACACTAATCGCGATCGAAGAAGGCCTTAACTTTTAATGAATAAACTTCTTTTTTCTTTATAAATTCTTTTAATTTTAGTTCTGACATTTTCTTTTTTGTTTAAAAAGGGCGATCAATGTTGTGGCTTCTATCCCTTCGCGTTTCACGAAATCAAGGGCACCTACCACCTCATGATGGACTATATTTTCTACAACATTAGGGTTTCAGGTGATCAGCACTTAATTGACTTGGGTGTCTACAGAGAAACTGACAATAATATCGAAAGTAAATTAAAAAATTTCAATAAGAAACCGGAAAATTCCTTTGGCAACAGTAAACATAGACATTTCCTCAAAAAATCAGAAGTGCAAGAGAAAAGCAATGCGAATGATGAGGACAAATCAAAATGGCAAAAAAATCCTATCAAACATTTAAGAACAAAACACAATGACTACCTCACTACCGTAGATGGCAATGGCGGTTCGACGACAACTATAAACAATTAATAAAATTTTGCTTATGATAAACGTGAGCCATTCAGAGTCAAGAATCTAAATTTATATCTGGGTATCGCATAATAATAAAAATCTAAAATTTCATATTATTTTTGAATGGTATATATAAATATACTTTTATGTATACCTATGCATTAACTTATCAAGAGAACTGGGTTTCACTATAAAAATAAGAAATTCTATGAGTTAATTATTTGATATATTATGTGGCGTTTATGTCATTATTATACTTTATTTTTTTTGGCAAACCTATGTAAATATTTTAATGGTGATAAAATAAATAGAATATTTTTCCATTTCGCTGGTGATTGAAACATTATTTATTAAACTAAGGCACCAAAATACTTAATAAAATTTTTTAAAATGAAAGGCTAATTAATAAAACAAGATTTTTGTAATTGGAAACGATATCATAGCATAGTGTCTTAATCTTATGGGTCATCGAGATTAAAAACATGTTACCGCCAATTTTAAAAAAATTTAGCCTGCTCTATAAATTTTTCCTTTTAATAAAAGGAATATAAAATATTTTATAAACAAATTGTAATTTTTAATTCAGAAACGAGTCCTTTCTTATTTTAAGTGGTTTTAAAAGAATATCCGATAGGAATAAGGGAATATCATTGTATCAATTTTGACTAACTATAATATTACAAATTATTTTTAAATGGTTACGCATATTGATAAATAAGCCAGGATAATATTGAAAACTAATTGCATGCTATCTTGCAAAAATAAAGCTCTGGATTTTGAATCTTTAATAGATTTACATGATTAACGGTTTAGATATGGGACACATGTTTGCATTCTAGATATATTATGTCGAAATGCTAATAAAAATTGTAAATAATATTACAATGAAAAATTCGATTAGTAGAAGAATCTTTTAGGTTGTGAATTAAATCGGCCTTGGTTATTTACGGCATTGGGTTCTCCCATGATGATCCTATTTTTTTATACACCAAATTGAACTGGAATCATAAGATGTAGAGGGGATAGTTCATACCTGAATCTTCTGTGTATTCAGAAATTTCTTTGCAAAAAGAATCTTTTTAGCGATGGCGTCAGTGTAATGGCTGAGAAGAAATCTGGTGTAGCAAAGCGCTTTGCGTACAATATCCAACGATCATACTCTGGTATTGTTTAAATAACCGTTTATAATTAATGGTGTCCGTAAAAAGTTACAGGTGTTAATCACTTTAAAGCATTTTTTGACACAATTTACAATTTTATAACCAATCTAACAAATATCAAAAGGTATTGGATCAAATAGCGTCTCAATTGGTCATTCAATTACTGAATATTGGAAGAGTACTTGTACGATAAGTGCCTAGCGATCTTCGTACTGTTATTTGGACTATGAGGCCTTATATATGCATTTCAAAAATAAAGAAAATTCTAGTACAGTGCAAAACGGGTTGTTCAACCGCATAGAAAGTGGTGATTTATTATCAGATCTCACTTTGATGCATGATGTTCTATACTAGTCTGATCTATCCTTAGACTTCAGGCAAGAACAATCCGTTTATCTAATGCTAAAAAATCCATAACGCTAAAGATTCGTGTTCTAAAATGGTTTAAGAATGTTTGACAGGTTTTAATCCCTTTTATAATTTCTAAATGAATGTTCATTTAATATTTCGTGGTGCTAATATGGTTGAAATAGTGAAACTAATTAAGTTATTTTTTAAAATAAATTATCTCTGTTTTCTTTGTAGAGTATTTACAAAGTTTACTAAATAAAATTTGAATACAAAACATTATAAAAAATATAAAGTTAGTTTTTATAAAAATAAAAATAAGAGCAAGTTAATCTGAATATAAAATAAGTATTTTTTACAAAAATAAAATTAAGAATAATATGCAAGGTAATAAAATAAAATAAGAAGAGGTCAAATCCTTATTCAACATGTGGCTTGAGAATTAGGTTATTCCATATCAACTTTTTGTCAAAAATGACTTTTTTATAAATCAATTTTTTAATTATAATTATTCCATTTACACAAAAAACCCGAAATAATTTTAAATAAATCAAATTATAGCCAATATAAGGTTAGCCATCATATTGAAAACAATAGAAACTTAATTTTTAAAATTGTTCTCCTGTAAAATTACAAAAAGGGGAAATTGAATAATCTTATCAGGAGATGATCTCTACATTAGAACATGTGAAAATGAGAAGCTAAAGAAAAACAGCAGGCATTCTGGTATCAACAAAAATCAATTCTTATTAAGAAATTATGCAAAATAGGTTAATGAATGATTCCGATAATTTTAGTATTAAAGATATATTAAATTATACAGTTTTTGCCATCTTATCTATATCATGGAATATTTAAAAAAAGATAACTGGCTAGCAGACCCTCTCGTTCCTTATTTAAATGAGCATTAATAAACACTCCCGGAATTTGAAAGTTACTAAATTGTATTAACACAATTCCGTGTAGCACTGCTTGCTGATTGTAAGCGCGCTTTCACTTTATCATTATTACGGATTGGCTTGCAAGTCTTATGAAAAAACATATTTCCACTTCAATCAGTAGAATTCTTCTCCATATATTAAAAAGTGGCTGACTCACAGGTCCAAATGATAGCCAATTAAGGAAGCGTAGGTAAAAACATTGAAAAAGATTAGCTATTAAGACCAATATTATAGCTTATTTTATCTTTTTTTTTCCTCCGATTTATACATTATATTATATAATAATATATTTATTTCTATATAATTATGAAATATATTCTAAAATTATGTCATTTTATAGCTATTTTATATATTATAAATACAATGTATTTTTATTTTATATATTATAAATACAATGTATTTTATATATTATAAATACAATGTATTTTATATATTAATGAAATAAATAAAAATTTTCAAAAAAAAAAATTTGCCTCAAATTCTTGGAAAAACAAAAATTTTACCTCTATTTTTACCAATTTCGTGCCTCTTACTTTTTTTGAGTATTAGCGTGCCTCCGCCGCAAATTTTAGGACTACCTAACTGATGATATTTCGCACGGCCATAAATTTTTTTGGAAAAAAATATTTAAGCGTTAGTATTGATTTCCCTCAATAAAAATATGACAATATTCAATAATGTTCAAAGGCCTATGAATAGGGTTGTCAAGTCAAAGTTTTCAAATTGCGGGAGAAATTTGAAAATTGTGATTTTTTTAAAAAAAAACAATCGATCATTATTTTTCAGCATTTCTTAAAATTATTATTTTATAAATTAAAAAGTTATGCTGAAAATTTTAAAATTGCAAGAAGGGGATCTTTGCGTGTTGACTAAATTGCAGTCGTCACCCGCTGATGAGAGGAGAGGGGCTAGAAACCCTGGCAATGATTTAAACATCCGTGTTTATCATTGATTTCCATTTTTTTAAGCAAATATGCAAAAAAGCCACCGCGTCATTTGTAACGCCGATGATATTGTTACTTGAAACTGTATATATATTTTAATTAAATATTCAATGGTAAAATCAGACGAACAGTTTGAAATTATTTTTTATTAATAATAGAAATGAAGATAATATTATCGGGTTTTAATGGATAAATTATATTAATATTGCACAATAATTATTTATTTGAAAAAAAAAATTGTAAATATAGTGTAATATTACATTTTATGATAATTTATTAAACTTCTTGAACATCTCACCCCATATTCCACAAGTTTATTAATAGAAACTCATATATTTTCTTTAAAAAAAATATGGAAGAGTAAAAAAAAGTATATAATAATATCAAAAGGGAAAGGAGTTGAGATTTTAACAAAATAAAGGCTCTATAAAAAAATGCAATTAGATTTCTTGCATCGTTTAACCATTAAGCGGCTTATAATAAAGTTTGGCTTTGTTTTTAAGGCTTTCTTTAACTAAATAAATTTTTAAAAAAAAATTTAATCTCATCTCAATTGCCCTTTTTAGTATTTTACTTTAAAGAAATTCTTTCATCATAAATAATGAAAACAATTATTTGAGCATCCCTAAATGGATAAAAAATACATATAATAAACGATAAAGTAAAGATTTATATATAAATGCCATATTCGGAAAGTAAACCATATGGTAATGAAACTGTAATATAAGTTCGTTCTGAAGGAATTGTAATACATAATTTGAAAACATAGTAAAGGTTTAAAATTTATCATATTATAATAACGAATTGTTAATGTTTAATTTGAGGGGCGACTAATATATTATTTTTTAAAATAAATTTATAATTTTCTAAAAAAAATTAATATTTTTTTAAAGATCAAAACTTGGCTAGATAAAGGCAATCTGCAAATTTTTCCATATTTTATTGGATTATATAAAGTGAAGTTAAGGATTTAAAAAATACAAAACAATACTTAAATTAAATAAATGGGTATTTAAGGGACATTGGGCGTATTGTTTAAAAAAAATGGTACTGTTATGTATCATGGTATATAATTAGTTCGCTTTTCTCGCCCTTTGATTTAGTTTGATTTCGCTAGGCTTTAGCCCTGCTATTATTAGATTTCGTTGATCTTCCGAAGCATGGGATATCCCATTCATTTTTAATCTACTTTTATCAGCTTTATCTGTTTTAGATGGCGATTTTGACTCCGAAACCTGAACGAACGTGTTTTTATTCGCGTTATCTATTTTAGGTTGTGAAGCCTGGATACTTTGTGAATACTCGAATTTGCCAATTTCGCGATTATTAATCGAAATCTGGTTGTTATTACTGATGGGGGTTAAGTATTCTTCGTAAAGAGGGAAATTAGATGAGGATGTATCACAACTGCTTGAATCAGTGTGTTGGTTGACTTGATTAAAAGTTGCTTCGATGTATTTAATGGCCATAGATGTTGAAAGGTTTTTTGATGAGTTCGAACTCACCAACGCATCGTAATACTCGTTGGGGTCTACGATGGGTAAAGGAACGGAACCATTACACATTTTTTTGGCTTTCTCTTTATGAAATTGAAAAGGGTAAAATAAAATAATAAGTTAATGTTAATATTAATATTATAATTGTATTAGAAAGATTTTAAATAGTGTTTTTATAGAGAATAACGAAATGATACATGATATTTTTAAAAATTGTAAGATGGGTTTTTTAAAAAGAATATAAATTAAAAGAGAAAGCCAATAATTATGTGCATCTTTATTACATAAGGCAGCCCTAACACAAGTTGACATCATTTTAGCATTCTTTATATTAAAATATCTAAAATAATAAACAAAAATGTTTTTATATTAGTATAATATTCAGGGCTAAAGTTTCATTGAAGCGGGATTTTAGCAATACAGCGCCTTTTTTTAAAAAATTTTGAAAGATCTGATTTTACCGAAAACCCGATCATGAATTTTATGTATTTTTTAAAAATTTATATGAAAAAGTTTATAATCTAAAGATTAATAAGAGTAAAGTTTAAAAATTAAATTGCCATGATTCACAGGGTAAGTAAATTCTATAAATTCTAGTTACTATTAAACCACGTCTTTCAAAATTAAGGAACGCGTGCTATAAATGACTCAAGTTTTAAAAATTTGCTAAAAAGTTAAAAAAAAATAGATTTGATAACTATGACATATTTAAAAAACTTATTTATTAATGATAATTTATTAAAGTCGAAATCAAAATAAAAATCGGAATAATTATAAGCGAAGAAAGTGATCAAAATATGTTTTCCAAAAAATTATATTTAAATTATTATATATGTTGTATTGGGACCAGAGGCATTCATGGGTCTGGTAGACCCTAGGCCCTAATATTAAATATTCCAGCGGGCCTGGGGTTTTGAAATTTTTTTTAATGGGCTTGGACCTAAATTAATATTATTTAAATTTAGCTATTTAAAACAGTTGCTAACTAAAAAAAATATGGAATATGGGCAGAGCCGGGCATGAGCCTCAAATTTTATGATAAAAATGAGGACAACAATAAAAATGCTAATAAATATTAATTTGCTGCGGGCCAATAAGCATGGGAATTTGAAATCTCTCAATATGGCGGTTTTTTAATTTTAAAAAATCGAAATTGACCGAAAATGTATTCCAACTGGCGTAGAATACTATTAGTTAAATTTGCCATGAATCTTATTTTATAATTTATGTGAAAAATCTATATAAAAAAATTTTGAGAAAAATTGTCTGAAATTTACAATATGAGTACCCTACACATATTAGAATCCATTTCTGGTCTAATCTAAATTCGCTTTCGATACATGATTTAAAATTGAGAGAATTTTAATCCCAATGAATTCCATATCCCATATCGAACATATATAACTTAAAAATTCATTTGCAAATATTTCGAAGAAAAAAAAATAACTTTGTCTAGCCAGTAGAATAGGAGGTGGGGGAGGTGGTTTTCTCCTAGGCATGTCAGACATATCATCTTTATCCTCAGCCTCACATGTATCGCCGTTCTTCTGAGTTTCATTAATTTCATGGACTGTTAGTAATATTTTATCGATTTAATATGTCATCTCATTAATATATAATATATATATTAGAAACACTATAAATGCAAAAAAATTATAAATCGATAAAAATCTAAAACTTAAACCTTTATTATGACCAACCGATAATTTGGTAACGTTTTGGGGAGACAATTTCGGAGGACGAATAGGAATCTTGGGTTTTATTTTAGATTTCGATCTATCAAGCGTTTGATTCGTTATTTTTGTAGTACTAGTGCCATTTTGCTAAACAGAGATTAGAGAAAAAAAACAATAGATAGGATATTTATAAAAACAAACCTATATAGTGTAGTCGCCAGCTGATAATAGTGAAGATCAACAGTCCGATTAAGACCTAACCAATTTCAAAAATGTCGATAGTCCTGTTAAATTTTTAAAATCGGTCTTTACCTTTCCGAAATCCTTTATTTAAAAAAAACGGGTTCATGTTACTGTCTAAACTTGACGGTTCATCTTCACTAGTGTTCAGATTCGCGGAATACCTAAATTAAATTTGAGAAGGCCTAAAATATTTTATATTTGAAACGCATGAAATAAAGTGAGGTTTTAACAGGTCTAAATGATATGAAGTATAATTGGTTAATGTTTAAAAGTCGGCTAAATCTATCGTCGTGAGGCGAAAAAAAATAACCAAGCTATGAGGCATGAGTTAATTTTTTTTTGTTTTTTTCAAAATTGAGATATATCTCGAAGAAAAAAACGCGAGGCTGAGGTTATATTGTTTGGCTAAAAACAGTTCGGCTATTTTGTATGACTGCTAAAAATAGACCGACTACCCAACTATGAGCTAGCAACGCAAGCGTATAAAACGATTACAGTAAAACTTGTCTAATATGGGCTCTTGATAATTCGGGCAACTCCCAAATGGATCAAAATTTTGAGTCCCAATCAAATTCCTATTACTACAGAAAGTAAAAAATCTTGATAAATTGGGCAGCTGTCAAAGTTGGGTAAAAACATGGTCTCAACGGTGCACAAATCAGACAGGTTTTACTGTATATAGTTATTTGACTTATTGTAAACCTTTTTATGGGTTAAATTTGTAGCTAAAAAGCTATTGGAATCTCCGTTGTTGCGTATTTTATTGTTGTAATTAGGAGAAGTGATCTTTTTGCTAGGGGATAATAATATTGCCGAAGGAGGTTTTGGGGGAGGAACTTTAGGTTTGCCTATGATTCTAGTGGCCCTGTCACCGGAGGGTATTTTCTTCAAAATTACTCCTTCGCCTGAAAACTTTTTAATTTATGAAAGATAAGTTAACTATAAATATTCCCAGAACTCAATTTTTTTAGGGCTGAAATAAATGATTTTTAATTAACTAAACATATAAAAAAAATACATATTAATAAAAAATTCGATAACTCACTTCCAGTTCCGAAGAAGATGATGTATTGTTAGTTAGAGCAATGGCAGATGATGAAGCAATAGATGATTTCAAAGCTATCTCTTGATCGTGATAGCAATTAGTTGGCACCCAATTATGAGAACTAGTTATAGGTATGGGAGGCAAAGGGGTCGTTAACAAATATCTAGGTAACATTAGGGGCCTCGAAGGTGGCACGTTGAGTGAACGATTATTGTCGGATTTATCGGTACTCAAAGTGACTTGGCAACTTGAAATTTTTTTTTCAATCCCATTCACGGTGGTATTAGTTATCACGGCAGGGGTGTTTGAGAAATGCGTTTGAATAACCTTATTTTGCTGAGCAGTGGCGCAATGTAAATGCTTGTTATCTTCGACTGAATTTGACGACGTACTCCAATTCTCTTCGCTACTAAACGAATCAACTACGAATAGAGCCGGGTTAGAAATAATATCTTCTGAAATTTTGTTGAAGGTTCCAACACTGACCATGTTGCTATCGTTCAAAATTTTATCGCTTATATTCAGGGAATTTCCTTTCAAATTGCCCAAACTAGATCTCTGATGGCCCTTGCGAATGGTGTTGGACGAAGATTTGCGGAAAAACTTCTTGAGGGAAGAAAATTTGGTGTTCGCTAAAGCGTTGAAATCATCGCTTTTCTTCAAATTTTGCAGGATGCTAAAAGCAATATTATTGTGAATTGGGTCGTGATTAATGCTCGATTCGACGTACTGAACATTAAGTTTCGTTTTATTATTTGGAGTACATGACGTATTTTCAGGCAAAGGCATTGTTTTCACGAAATTTTGAAGATTCATATTATTCGTATCCTCGTGAAAATTTTCAGGGTTATCTAAAACATTTGTCGATTTTTGAGCTTCGAATTTAATTTGCGCCTGAACTTGGGCATGTTTCTGGCTTTCTTTGATGGTCGTTTTATCGAGGCTTTTGGATCGAATCGTTTTGCGTGGATCCTTGTGATTTCTTAAAAGAGCAAATTTTAATGTATTCTCTTTGGTTATTTCAGAGATTGGATGATTTTGCTGGGCGTCAGGTACGAAGGGTAAAGGCGAGGCGCTTCTTACCCTGTGAATTACTGAAGGACCAACGGTATGAGATTTTTCGGAGGGGTTATTACTAAGTTCGTTTCTCGCATATACCTTTTGGGTTATTAGTGAATCATTAATATTTAACGTCTTGTGAGTGTTTTGAAATTTGGTGGAGAATTTGTGGGAAGGACTAAAATAAGTTTGTTTTCCTTGTTTAGGGGAAGAGGGCGAAAGGGACGAAGGAGCCGAAGGTGCCCTCTTTTTAGAGCAAAAGTGAAGTCTAGCGAGGTTCGTATCTGAACAATTTTTATTCAGATTTTGAGCTATGATTCCTAACTTAGAATCAAATTTGATTATACTGTTATGCGCGGAGGAAATGTTAAAACCGTTGGTGCCGAGCAGCTGTTTTGATTCGTTTTCCCGAGATTCGATATTTTTTGATTGTTTGTCGGCAACATTCTCTGGTTGAGGGGAAAACAAAACTACAATATCCTCCTTCCTAATCTCCCGCGTGTTCCGCTTATTGAATGTATTGACGGAGGTGAGACTGCCTTTAGTAATGGCTTTGTTGAATAAATTTATCATGACATTACGTTTTCCTCTAGAAGCTGAATTATTTGAAGCAACGGGTTGATCTTTGATAACCAAGATATCACTATGCGAAATATCGGAATTGTCTAGGGATAGGCTCTTGTCAAGCCGTATGTCCATTTTTGTTTGGCTATTGGCCGAACCATCGTTCGAGGAATTATTATTTTTAGAGGGTGCACCAAAACATTGGCTGCCATCTTCCACTGATTCAATGAGTGAAAAATGAGACCCTTTGGCAGTATTTGACATGCCATAGTCGAGTTCTTCGTAGAGTGGAGACGTTAGCGCTTCCCTGTCAAGAATTTCCTCCTTCGATATTAAATGAACCGTTTTAAGGGCAGGAGTATCTAAACTTTTTGAGACGCAAAAATTTCCGGGGACAAGTTTTGAAGGTTGTTGTATACGATCATATATAGGCGACAAATTAATACTTTTATTGGCGTTAAAATCATTAATCGCGTTTGATACAAAGTTGGATTTATTTTCATCGTCGGTTATTTGACCTTTCGAAACTAAGAAAGAGCGATTGTCTATCAAGTTATCGGAGGTAAACTCGGCTTCAATTTGTTTATCGCTTTTGGGGGTAGAATTCGTAGTAGGCGTTTTATCGATTTTGGAATCCTCTACGTCATCATTAGTTACGACGCGTAGCATTGTTTCAGCGATTTCTTGAAGCAATGATTTTTCGCCGTCATCGTCGTCTCCTTCTTTGCCTTTCCTCTTAGCAGTTTCGTCCAACAGGTACTCAGATAGCCCTTTCAGTAAGTTAGAACGAGTGTCGATAACTGCCAACAAATCTCTCACCTCGCACTTTTCCGAATCTTTCGTTTCGTTATTAGTATTATTGTTATTAACTAGAGTAACATTTTCTATGTTAAAAATCGGTGGGTTATTAGAATCATTCCCCTTATGGTTAACATCGCCGACTGATTTATGGTCCAGTTCAGGCAAATGACTATAGTTATTATGACCATTATCGTGAATCGCGTTTAAGGAGTCGTTATCATCGGTTAATTGGTTACCAGTCGACGTAGTTCTCTTGACATTAGTTTGCCTAACCTCAGCTTTAGGTGATAGACGATTAACGTTGGAGGAAAAACCGAGCAATTTAGCAGAGGGAGATAAATTTTTAATGTCTAGCCTTTCGAACCATGACCTCACTTTGACTGGGGAAGGGGTGGATTTATCACAGAAATCATTTTGTTTCCTCGAAAACATTTTGTCATCACCGACTGCTACGTTAACTATCACGTGGTTGGAATGGATCGATGGCGAAGAAATGTTCGGTTTATTAGCATAATTAATGGTCGGGGTAGTTTGATCGGTATTCTTCGTAGGATTATGCGTGAGAAAAGTGGTGTCGACGGCGACGAAGGAATTATTTATCGATTTAATATCCCCAATTTCAAAATTACGTGTAAAAGAAATATCGATTAATTCTTTTTGGTGGGACGTCGAAATTTTTTTGTCTTTTTTAGCATCATTATTAATGTTTAATAGTACGTTTATCCCGTTTGATTTTATTAAACCATTTTTAGCGAGATTTTTATTAGAATTATTTATCCCAATATTATCGATTTTACGAGGTACACTAGCGCTATTATTATTATATTTTTCGCTTTTGTCATTAGTATTATTATCGACGATAATTTTATGAATATCGGTATTTTTGGTATGTTTAAAGGTAATCATATTTTCGCCACCGAAATCGTCCACCCTGCTCTCCGATGGCAGCGGAAGAGCAGTACCGTTCAAATTTTTGGTTATAGCGTTGCGTTCCGTGTTGAGTATAGTCTGCAAGGACCATTTCCTGTCCGCTTCATCCGCCCAGCTGTATTCATCCTCCGCCTCCTCGTCGTCACCATTTTGAAAATCGTTACCACTCTGTTCCAAGTTATTCGTATCATCACCCTGAGTGGTAGGGGAGGTACCCCCATCATAACCTATGATGTAGTTTAATAAAATGTAATTTAACATGCACCCTAAATGGAAGCTTTTTGAAATATTAAAATAATTAACTAGTCATAATATATTATGTTTCGCTTTTATAGAAAACCTATGATTGCGGGTGGTTCTTGACATATGCGAACTACCCTCTTCTTCTGAATATAAGAGGGGGATAAGCGGTCTTCCGGAATTTGATCGCCAATCTTTTAGGGTATAAATGAATGTATGAATAAAATATAGGGCTATATGGATCAATATGAGGTTGATTATAAAAATTATATTTATAGACCGACGCTGAAGTTTTAATTGAAAAATATAAATTAAATATATTTATAATATTTAAATAAAATAATAAGAAATGAATTACTTGGTTATAACCCCCCTCCTCCTGATTAGTCCGATTAAAAAAAATTATTTTAGGTCGGGGATGAGTTTTAAGGCCCGAGCCATGCTTCGGACTAGCATTTAAGACTCTGAAATAATCATCATTGGAAAAGCATGTTAAATTAGAGAAAGCACTTGATGGTTATTTTACAAACTTTATCCTTCAAAAAATTAGGTAAAGCATCGTTTAAAAAAAAGAGATTCAAATTATATAGCTGAGAATATAAAAACTTAGGCATTTAGATCTTTTTTTTAAAAAAATTTCAAACTGTCTAGAAATTAGAGCAAATACTGAATTTACTGGTGAAAATATATAAGGAAGATTTTTCCAAGTGAATAATCTTCCAGGAATGCGATAATAAAACAATTTTTTGACCATAAATATGATAATCACCAGTTTTAATCAAATTTAGGTATTGTGGGGTCGGTGTTTTTTTTTAAAACTAGTAGCTGAACATGGACATCAAATGAAATTTAATTTTAACAAAAGATACTTTGCTTGCAATGTTGATAAACCTACGTTTTAATTAGAGAGATCTGGATAAAAGTCAGCAATTTAAAAAAAATTCCTAACATGGTACATGCGACATTGAATTATTCAAACTATTTATCATTTTATACTATTTTATAGGAAGACCAATAACTGAGAGTGCCATTTTTTTGAATATATTTTGTCAGTTTATAATATTTAAATGATTATGATTGGTTCTGCGTGTTTCGTATATATATTAGTCTGAGAATTTCCGCTTTTTACATCTGAGTAATTATTATTTGGTAATTTAGTTTGTTTAAAAATTATTCAATATTCTTTTTTTTTCGATTATAGCATTCATTCTGAGCGTTTAATTTTTTTAAAAATATTCTTAACTTCTTTTTTTTATTTTAAACTATTAAATAGGAATTTTTATTCTGATCAATCAAAAGTATATTTTCCATAATCAAGGAAACTATAAAACCAGGATTTAACAAATTCCTCAAAAAAAAATAAATTGAGAATGCTAATGAATGGAAGTTTTTCATCAATATTTCCTCAAGATTTTTGCTAAAAATAATCTTCAAAGGGTCATTGAAGATTTTGTTAAACCTTGTTAAAAATACAAACCCAAACTACATTACCAAGGAAAAGGAAGTATGACGCCATATCGTCATTTAAGTTGAAATAGAGGGGGGGGGGGGTCTTTTTGATTTGGATTTCATTTTTTGTGCTAATTTTGATTGGTAGATAAGATGTTAATAATGTATCCCACCTTCCCACCCAATATTATAAACTTTATTTTAAGTTTTTTTTAAAATTGAAATCAAAAAAGAATTTAAAATCAATAAATAACATTTTATTTATCAAATTTCAAATATATCGTCTGCTAGAATTCAACATTTTAGTAATAATTCTCAAAATGCTATGAAGTTAAAATCGAATAATTAGCAATATAATACAAATACTCACATAAAAAAAAGGATAGTTAAATTCTTTTGATAGGAGAATGGTATGATAGTAATTAAAAAAATTTTAACTTCTAATTTTGTATAATAAAACATCAAACAAAATGAATTCAGCGTGATTTTATAACAAGGTAAAAAAAATTAGATATCAATAAATAACTATTTTTTAGAGAGAAAGTTTTAAAACATTGTTTAAATTAAAAAAAACTATTCGATTTTAAACCTCGAATAAATTTAAACCTCATTCATTTTTTAAAAAACATTTGATATGACACACAGTATGTTATAAATAGGTGGTGTAGTGTTCATATGTGCAGTTCGGCTGAAAAGCGAAAACCCCCCTTAGTAAATTGTCAAAGTTCCACAAATAGCATACCAAGAATTATTAATTAATAATTTTAAAAAAATAACTAATGTAATTTCAAATATTTCAGCAAAAAAAAATCAAACAGACCCCGGAACCCGACCCGATCGGTTAAATGTCACTATTTTAAAAATCTAGACTGGGTTTAAGAATAAATTATAAAACCTGGATCGGGCCTAAATGTTTAGTTTAAATGGGTTGATTTTTGAAGATGAAAAACCATAGAATAGATCATTTTAGCATTCATTCATATTTTCAATTTCCTTAAAGTAATTTACAAATCTTTATAAACGTAGAATCCAGGTAAAATATATAAAAAAATTTTTTTAAAAAATAGACCAGGTTAGGTTTTAAAATTGGCCGGATCTAAAAAAATAGACCCCTGAAGGGCTTGGTTAATATCATACTAACGTTTAACAGGACCTGGCAAAAAGTTGGCCCAAGGTCCTATGAAAGGGGGGACGCGAAACACCTAATATCCCTCTTAGGCCTCGTTCAGAGTAAGGGCGAAATACCGCGAGTCTAAGCAATGCAGACCTTAGAAAAATCCTGATTACCTTTATAGAGACGTGGCTGCCTAAATCAAAATATTTAAATATCTAGAACGAATAATGATAATAGCCTAATACAAATTAAATTACAGATTATAAATCACCGTCACCAACGAAAGCGTGTTTTTTATGAGGATTAATAGCTTCTTTTTATGTTGTTAAAACTAACAATATTTTATTGAGTGTTTCATCTAACCATATAAAAAACTTTTATAAATATTCCGATAAACACACCTATTTATAATTACAAATCAACACTTTATTATTACCCTGTGTCATTTATAAATAATAAATTACTAATTTGGTAGGAATATTTTGAGATCTTGTTCGGGCATGATCACATTCGGATTTGCAACAATTGACGCATAACTCTTTCTTCCACACATTCCGGATGAAGGTACTGCACGATAACACGTGGTGACCGTTACCGACAAAACCTTTGCTATTCAAGGTAGTAGAGTCTGTTTCAGTTGTTGAATCACTTACCATTTTGAGATTCTTTTATCCACGAAAAGACCGGCAAATTAAATCAATGGCAAGGTAATTTTCCTTGTTATTTCTTGATTTAATAAGATTTTCTACATTGTCCCTTTTTTAACTTATGATTTGAGAAACGAAGTCCTACCACCTATAATGAAAGAGAGAGAAAAAAAAGTTTATTGATATTTATTAGAATATTAGTTTAAATAATATGATTAAAGTTAAATGATTAAAATTAATGATAAATAAAATATTAAAATCATAATCACGTTTTCAATTTATATTTATGTAATAATTTCTTTCAAAATAATCAAAATTTAATTGAAATATTATATAAATTATAAATTTTTATTATCATCGAGGAGATAAAAATTTCATATATTTTTTATATATTGATAATCTTATATCTTTAAAATGAAAAATAAAACAATGATAAAAACAATTATTAACAAAGTTCATTTATCCTAATATAATGAGATAATATCATCATTTTCAAAAATTAATTCCTGATTATTTATAAATATATTTTTTTTTTAGATCTTCCAAATACTTTTTTTTGATGTTTGCTTTTCTCTTATGATTGTTATCTAATTTTTAAATCAATTCAACTCTAACTATTTATCTAGAGTCACCGCTCATAAAATATCCAAAATTTTAAAGAGGTCTCAAGAAAATTATTTTAACTCATATAATTTTACTATTATTTGAGCCAGTTTTTTTAAGCTCACTGTTTTTATTAACGTAAAGAAATATCGATATAATTGCTTATAAAATACCTATAAATACAATTAAAGGATGTTGTCATATATCATAACGAATAAGTTTGAATTTGGCATTTTTGTTAGCAAAGATGGTTACATCGATCTGACATTAAATCTGATAGTCAAGACCAATATCGAAAAATATAAGGCAATAAGATTGTCTTAAGACTTGAAGTTTTATTTTAATAATTTCAAATTGCAAATAAATAAATGAAATATTTTACTATATTTTATAAATTATAATTGAAAAAACATTTTTTTATCCTCTCTTTATTGTAAAAAATATTATGATTTTTTTATGTAAGGAGAAACTATTTCTTTATTACAAAACTTTTAAAAAAATTTAATAAAATCCATATTTTAAAAAGGGGGGGGGGGGGGTGGAAGGGGGAGTGTTGCTAAGGGATTATATATTGCATAATCTTAACCAAGTTGTTTTTTTTAAATAAAAGGAAGTTTTGTTTTACTTTTTTATATTTTATAAAAGCTTTTTATGTATAAAATTGAATAAAATGAGGTTTATACATTAGTGCTTGAAATTAAATAATAATTATATATAATCCTAACTAAAAGTTGAGTTCAAGAATAATCCCTAGATTCTTTCATGAGTCTTAAGAGGCCGAGGCTAGCTTTTACTGACAGATTTTTTAGTCCTTTGTTTCGAAATTTCTATCAAATTCCATTTATAGGCTGATATTAAAATTCTTAGCTTTCCGCTAATATTGTCAAACCAAAAAATATTACGCTAGCCTGTAGATTTTTCTCCTAGATGGTAGGTTTGTATTAAAAAATCTCGAGGTTTGAATAATAATATTCTGGGTAAAATCTTAAACGAGCCTTTAAATCGTTAAAAAATCAGCAATTTTAAATCACTGCGCTGGAAAAAGAAATTAAAAAGTGAGCTAGGACGACCTCTTCGGTTAAAATTGGGCGATTTCGCTATAGTTAAAAAAAATATATAAAATGTTATGGCAAAATATCAAAGAAAATTAACTTCGCCATTGTTATTTCACAACAAACTCATTTTTTTGTTAGAAAAATCTTTGACTATAAATAAAATTGCGCTGTTTAAAATTGAATGCTAGGATGTAGGAGTAGATTAGTATAGTTTCGTAGCCACTAAAAATATCAGCATTTGTGTTAGTAAATTTTTTTTAAATATCAGAAGGGCCCAATAATTCATTTTTTAAAATATCATGTATTGATCAATATTTTTAAAATTAGCCGATTCGATATATCAAATTAAAAATTAAAAGGGTAAAATAAAATTATATCAATTAATCAGTTTGAAAATCACATAATGGAGGGGTTAATATTCATATGCTCATATTTTCAATTTTTCCCTTTGAAACAATTTGCAAAAATTATTTAAAATAACAAATTTTTTAAAGATTATGGGCAGGGTCATTAAAAATCTCAGGCCGGTTTTGAGGGATAATTTTTTTTTTAAACTAGGGCTAAAATTTTGTCCTCTATCTGTTTTTTATGACATTATTTTTTTACATTTATGTCATAACCGGGATAGGATTCTCGAGGGATTCGGATAATCTCTCAATTATAATTCATAAAGGATTTTTAAATTTAAAAAAAATCTTTCTGATCGGAAATGAAGCATCTATAAGAAGTATGTTTGTCTTTGTATTGTTAATTTCGAATAATTTTGCCGTAAATTTTTGAACTACAAATACACAAAAGTTTAAAAGCAAAATTGTATGAAATAAAGGGTGTGTGTTATCTACATAATATACATGGTTGGAATAACATTTCCGGTCAAATCAGATTTGTAAATTTAGAAAATAGAACTTGTTAAACGACTCGATTTCCAACTCAAGATTTTAGCTAGAAAAAAAAACCTAAGCCTTTAGATTTCGCTAATAGGTGTCCAAACCTTTGTGCCATCTTTGAGCAAAATCTTCAGGCTTACGTTTTTTTAAAAATAAAATATAAGATCTTATCTTTTACATTAATTTATATATATAAGGTTTACTAGAATTTTCACAATTATGTCAAAATAGTAGTAATTACAAAATACCCAATTTTAATCAATTTTAAAAACTCAAAAAATATTTGAATTTCAATTTTTATATAATCCCAAAAAAAACAAAAGATGATCTTTTTTTTAAAAAAAAGAAGAAATAATCGATATAAATTGAGCATTGATTTTTTTTATCAATAAAACGTTTTTATAATTCACATTATTATGCATGAAAATTTAGAGATTTTATTAAAAGTTCAAAAATCCCTTAGCTTAGCTCTGACAATAACTAAAAAAGATGCGAGAGAAATAAAGAGAAGACTTTATTAGTTTTTTGGTTAAGCAAAGCAAGCATAAATTATTTCGTTTAAAAAAGTAATGAAAAATTTTAAAATGTCCAAAATATCCCCCCCCCCCCTTATTTTTATTTTTGTAAAATGATAATGTATTTAAACATGCTTAACTTGTCCTTAATATCGATTTGTAAATTTTTACAAAAAAAAATTGCTCTCATATTTTCATCTTAAAAGAATTTACAAAACACAGCCAACCAAAATTATTTAAAAATCGAAATTTTTAAAAATTCGCTTGATGGGGTTTAAAATTTAAAAAAAAACCTGTATTAACCAAAAAATATTTTTAAAATCCTAGCCAAACTTTAAATGGAGTTTTTTTAAAAAAAATATTTTTTGGGTATGGCTTAAAATACTTAACTTCTATATAGGTCTTTATTAGAATACATTTTATTTCCGCTTATAATCTTTTCCCGCATTTGGGATTCCAAAAATCTTATAATTTACAAGGTTTTTCGGGTTTAACATTTTAAATGCCTGATCTCTTGAAAAATCGGCTAGTGTCATTAAACGGCTCAATTTAGCGGATTCTAAATTAAGATTTAAATAATATTACCTCCAGATTTCGCTAATCATTCTACCATCTACGAGCAAAATCTCCAGGCTCGCGTAAATATTAGGATATTGTAAATGTAAAAAAAAATTATTCTAACACCCCGTCCGAAATTTTAATTTGTTTTTTTATACCCGACCCAGGGGTTGTCCAATTATTATAAATTTCGGCCAACTTTCAAAAGAGTTAGTTATCCATTAAATTTCTTTTGCAATAGAATAAAAAAAAAATATTTATAATTTTATCAAATAAATTTTTTAAAATATAATTAAAAAAATTTTGGATAAATCAGGCGGCTAAATTTTGAGATTTTAAAAGTTAATTTATTTTACATTAGTAAGATTAGATTTTTAAGTAAAAGATTGATTTATAAAAAAAAAATGGGAAATAGGCTATTTACCACAAGCTATATCGATTTTTTTTCAAAAATAAATAGATAATGAAGTGATTTTTTTTGTTGCTAATCAAAAAATACAAATATTTAGACGATTTTATCATTTTTTTGAGGATGATTTATTAATTAATGTAATTTATATTAAGCAACGCGAAAATTATGCCTGATAAACGAATGTTTTATTTTACATAATAATAATTAATATTATCTTATCTTTTTGAGAGGTTTTTTATGGTATGTATGGTAATAGTACATTATAAATAATTTAGAATTATAAAATTTCAAAAGTTCTGCCTTCTAAATTTTATTGGAGGGCTTTAGGCTCTCATACTGCAGATCTTTAGGTGGTTTGTAAAAACAATTTTGGGGTTTTACTATTTTCTTCCTAAAAATTTTAAGTTTTAAAAAAAAATCAATGTAGAAAAAAGATTTCGATCAAATTTTACCTGTAAATTCCAAATAATATTTTCTTAGGGGAAGCATTGTGGGATGGAGGAGCTAAATTTGTTTGTGTAGAGGAAATAGCATATTTCGATCTGTAAGTTTCGGTAATTGGCGTGAGGGTTTAAGGGGTGTCGAATTCATTTTAGCCCTGGGCAGCAAAAAATATCAGCATGGCTATGCTGCTAGACAATTTTATATACTAAAAATTTAAAACTTAATTCAAATAAGCCCGAACTGGATAGACAAAAACGAATGAGGCATGTATTAAAATTTATTAATGCTGAATTAGGGTTTGCTTAGCGGGATAAATTATAATTATAGTTAAATTATTTATCAAAATAAAAGAATAGATTTGATTTGAAATACAAACATATTTGTTTTAAAAAAAACTTATCCGAATAAAATCGATGTTTGATTTTCAAATTTGTAATACTAATAAATTAATTAGAAAGCTAGAATTGTGTTTGTAATTTTTTATCGAGAAGTGAGTAACCCATATTCTTTTTAAAAATTATAAAGCTCTTCTCAAATGAATTAAAAGAAAATTTGTAAATAAAAATTAAGATTCATTCATTCATTCGTTAAAAATTTATTAAATAACACAGTTTAAAATTTAATGTAATTTTTACACTTTTTAAAATAAAAACCCAGTTGTTATAATATGACGT